TTCACAAATGAAGAAGACCAGAGAAAACAAGCTTCATTGGTCTTTTTACATGTAGGGCAGATGAGGTTACATTTTTGACTGGCCTACACTGGAGTTTGAAGGGAGAGTCACTGTGCTTTTGAAGTCTTGATGGCTGAGTAGTGACAGGGGTGCTTGAAATACCCAAGAGCCTGTTACACCTCCAGGTTAGTTTGTGGTGTACACAAGATTCGTTTGTGTGCTTTCATTATGGTGTTTCAGGGAAAAAGAGGAAAGCACTGAATGAAAAAAAGCACATAAGGGTTTGCACATAAGGTGGTGGGTGAATGTCGCAGGTCTGGCTTTAGCTGCTGAAATTTCTAACCAAATGCCCAATAGTCAAATGACTGAAAAGAAAGAAGTAGATCCCATAAGCTCTCCTTGGATCAATCACATGTTGCAATATGAATCTTAGAAATGCCAGTGTAAAAATAAAATGTTGTTTCTGCTCTAAAGAAACTCCAAAACATAGTTGTACAACACAGATACGTGTCGATACTTTCTTTGAACTGCCCATACCTACTCTTTGGAAGGCTTTCTGTAGGAAAAAATATCTTCTTCCTTTAAAAGTATCTCTTTAAAAGTAAGCAGCTTCATTAGCATTAAAAGCAGTTTGATCTATTGCTGTGGCCTGATCCCAGAGGAGAATATACCTTCCTCTAGGGCTCTCCACCTCTGTGTGCTATTAGAAATGTAAGCAAACATCCTTGCTCTGTGTACACAGAGAAAGTGATTTACGAACATGTGGATTGCAGCTTTCTTTTTAATGAAGTTTCTTATCAATGTGTTTGGCTGGAAGACTGACCATAGTAAATCAGGAACTTCAAAGCAGTGCTGGCAGCTTCATTGGACATAAAAATTAAAGTACTACAAATGGTGAGTGTGGCATTCTCAGAGAGCTGACTGTTCCCAGTATTATTCTGTTTTATGTGGTTTTAAAGAACAAAAAAATACATTAGAAGACAGTTTGGGGAAATGTTTATATCCCTTGCTCCTGCTTGACCTCAGTAAGTAATGCTCAGACAGGGAAGGGGCTGCAGGAGCTGAAAGATGAACAGGAACTGTTTGATAACATTGATTTCTACCAGACTTTTCCAGCCAAACTGAATCTTTTGGGAGTGGCTCTGCATTTCCCCCAGTTGAAAAATCTTCACAGGATGAGATCGCTTCTGTTTCATGCTGTTGGGCCTCTGCATGCACAGTCTATCTCCAGCCTCTCATCGTGCTTGTCTCCACGGCCAGTGCTCTCATTTGCATTGCCCTCTGTGATCAATTTGCCTTCTGCACTGAAACTCATCCCTTCACATGTCCTACAATGGTTCTTTGCTGTCACTGAAGTGCAACCTGGATGTTATTTGCTTCAGAAGGGCTATGCACTTCTGTAGGGTGAATGCTTATTCTGGCGGTGGGTAGGCTGGTGTGGAAGGTGACAAATCAGGTTTTGGACATCCACATTTGTCCTCTCCAGCAGTGCTGGAGGTTTGTATTTGGGTGGGGCTGAGTGGTCTAGTGGGTGACAGGAGTAACAGGGCAGCAGCTCTGCCCCTTTGTTTTTGGATAGACAAATCACAGAATTATTTGGGTTGGAAGAGACCTTTAAATGTCAGCTACTAAAACTTGCTACATGAGCAGGGATGTCTTGCCTGTGGACCTCCCCCTCCAGCGCACCCACCCTCCTCTGTCCTCCATCTCTGTAGATTTCTCTGGCAGCTGGGTGAGGGGGAACATGCAAGCAGTAAAGGAAACTATTGTGACAGACAGGCTGAAAGATTGACACAGTCTTTGTAGATTATATTAAAAATAAATGGGTCTGCTTCAGCCTGTGAGGTCTGATTCCCATATACTAACTGCATGGGCTGACAGGGGAGAGCTGTTTTATTTTCTGGTTTGTTTGCTTTATGCCTGTATAATCTCAAAGGGTTTTACCTGCCTGCAAATCTTAATGCTTTGTGAAACAGCTTGGGCAGAATAATATATAGTTTGGGCAATGTATGATTACACTGATTTTGTTGACAATGTGTATAACAATAAATTTATTACTTTCTTGTTAATCTGCTGACGGTGGCACCTTATTAATGCTTGGTCTGCTAGTAAAATCTTACTCTGCTTTCAGAGATTTTCAGAGTTTTTTCTACTTTCAGAATCATAATATTCCTAAGAGAAGCAATTTTTGCCAATGATACTCTAAAGAATTACAAAAGTTTTGATGTCTTGGAAACCAATTCATAACCCTTTTTAGTGTCCTGTCTAAAGAGCCACCTATGATGGGCTTGTAAAATCTGAAACATGAAAGCTAGTAATTGCGTTAAAGTTACCTAGTTACATGAAGTGTCTGATGAGGTGACAGAAGGTTGGTAATGAGGCACCATGCAAATGCTAAACCAGAAATTACTGAAAAAAAGATTACAAGAAAAACATTTCACATTCATTGAGTTGAGAAATTTTAAAATTAATGTTTAGTAATGGACAAATACAGGAATAGAGTTAAACATTTACTGAGTGAAATGCATCTAGAAAATATACTAAGCGGAATTTTATATAGAAAGACCCAGGTAAGAATTTGATACTTAGGCTGTTCCCCAAAACTCCTCCTTATTGTTAAATAATAAATTAATGATTTAAGCCTCTAAGCTTCAGCTTCTAAGCAGTTGCACCTTGAAGTGTATGTTAACTCAGCAGACAGAGGAAAATATTTTATTGTTATTTTATTCATTGTTTAGACTGTCTTTTGAAGTTGGTTTTATAGTCATTCCCTTATTTGCTTTTTGGCTGGTGGGGGTTCTGAATTTGAAAAAATAAATCATGGTACCTCAGATGTTAGTGTCTAGAAATGCAGAATGACTTTGACTGAGATCAGGTTCTATAGAGCATTCCTTCCCCCGTGGTCAGTCATTGCAATTTTTTAAAAAAAACAACCAAAGAACAAGAAAGAAAATAAAAAAAAAGGTTGAAGTTTTTTCTTTCTCTGAATTTGCCAACAGCCAAGTGCCAACACTTCCAAATAGAAACCTTCCTTTGGAAGTTCCAGCCTGAAGGACACTGCTGCAGTCATGGTCTGAAATTACAGTCTTCCCTAATGGAAGTGCTCACACAACCTTATCTCTGCAAGCAGAAGCAAATTTTAAACTAGCTATGCTATTTCTTTTTTTTTTTTTTTTTTTTTTTTTTTTTTTCTTCTAGGTCTTAATACTTTTCAGTTTATTATAGTAGCTAAAATGTGTAAAAAATGTCTCTTTCTGAACTCCTGAGTGAAGCCATTCTGCTCGTTTCCATTGCATGTGATCGTCTTGCTTGTCAGTGGACAAAGACTCAATGTCTACATGATGGTTCAGTAGCTGGAAAGACTCTATGAGGATTTGCTGGAGTCACCGTCTGTCAGTGGTGACATTCAACAGAAATTATCCAATCTGCCCATCCTGTTCCCACAACTGGAGAAAATTACTGTGATCAAAATGGAAAGAAGAGTAGTTAACCTTTTATTTATGTCTCAGTAGTGTTGCTTCTGTATCAGTTGCAAGTTTAGCTCCTGTGAGTTTCAGTTTCTCATCTTGGCTGATTCTGCTGTGTTTCTGGGCGCTGGGAGTCTCTTGACATGCTTTTATTTGCTGAATATCAATAATGTCCAGCTAATGTAAAGAAGAATTTTGTAAATGTTCAAAACAGTATGCCTTGGAACATAAACCATCTTTTTAGTGGTAGAGACCAGGACTTGACAAATGATGTCTTGATTTAAAAAAAAACAACAAAAAAAAAGAGAAGACAGCCCCTGAATTTTAATGTTAGTTTGGCCATTTTCACTTGTGCTTTGGGTATAGGTTGGAGGGAACTAATCAACGACAGCTTGGACAAAGAATAATGGTGCAAATTCTGTAGGATTTCTGAGTAAATTAAAATATTTTGGAGTGTAACAACAGCAGATGTTGCTTGGAAACCTGCCCCATATGGGACAGAAAGACAACCTAACCAATGGGAGCAGCGGTACCGCAGTTGAAAGCATTGGCCTAATCCCTTTTTGTGGCAATGTTGCAAAAAATAGTGCTATTGTTTCTCGCTGCTGCTGTATGTTGTTGGAGATTATAAGGAAGAAAAAAATAAAATATGCCTGCCACCATAACTCTTTCTGTTGTGTTTACATGTGCTAGAAAAGACTGACTTTGAAAAGTAAATGTCCTTCCCTACTAGTCAAGTTAGAGGGATGGGGCCAGGGAGGGTGGGAATAATTAAAAAAAAAAAAGAAATAATGACAGCTTTTAGTTTGTAATTTATTTTAAAGGGATTTTTGTTTGTTTGTTTTACTTCAAGCTTTTTACTTCATTTTTCTTATGGCAACTTTGCAGCATATGATTTTGATGAGTTCAGAGGCATCATACCTAAGATATTCCCTGACCGTACTTTCTCTTTTTCTTCATTAACTTTCTTCAAACAAAATATTTTGGTTTATCACGTGGTGTCTCGGTCTGATCTGACATGAGGGGACAGGAAGTTTTTTGAATGACTAATGCATTCATAGGTCACTACTTTACTTCTCTTAAAACGGCTGCTGAGAAAAGACTTAAGATTTGACAAAAAAGGTGACCTCTGTATCACCATCAAAGTTCTGAGGTTTTGTGTAGTGAACTTTTCCAATGAGAGGACCTTTCAGAGGTGAGAATGCTTGTACAATATCTATAGTTGTACAGCCCTAAAGACTTAGGATGTTTATGAAAACATTTCATATACCCTCCATGTGGATTGCAGTACATGTATAACAAGCATTTAGTGCATTTTTCTTATTTTTTCCTTCAGTCCAAATACTTGAATTAAGCCTTTACTGTTTTTAGTTTTTATTTAATTATTAAAAATATATCTGACTAGGTGGTTTCTAGCTATAATAATTTTCTTACAATATTGATCTTCCCTTTGTGTCTAGGTGCAATGCAAAAATGGGTTGATTTGGATTAAACAAATAAACCAACTTAGGATCTCTAACTTGTTTCTTGCAGATGTGATTCATACTGTTGGGCCAATTGCAAGAGGCCATCTCACTGACACTCATAAAGAAAACTTGGCAAATTGCTATAAATCGTCTCTGAAACTGGCAAAAGAGAACAACATCAGATCAATTGTAAGTACTCTATGAGAATGCTTTTTTTCTCCCCTAATTTTGGTCTTTGTTTTCTTGCTATAGAATAAATAGAAATAAAATGGCAGTCTTCCAGAAGGATTTCTTGCTGTATGTGATGTGAAAAACAAAAGATTTTCAATATAATTTGGCCAAAATAGTTCCTAGATACAAGAATGTGGCTTTTACACAGTGTTATTTATTAAAAAAAGACCTAAGGAGCCACTTGTCAGGTGGATAATGGCACGTAATATTGCTTGCTGAATAGCTGAGAAGTGATTAATTTCTTGCTTATTCTGTCTGCTAATGTTTCTTCCTGAAAATAAAGGTGTTGGTCAAGTGGCAATGTTCATAGCACCCCCTCAGCAAAATCCATCATAAAATAGCACATTATATCATCTTGTATTGAATGATAAAGGTTCTTTGATTGCTTGAAATACCTGTTGCACACATATCTCAAAAGGCCAAATCTTCAAAGTCCACAGAGCAAAGGAGCTGATCCCTCTCCAACTCTGGAGCATTGATTCTGTGGCTCAAACTGTAGCAGCTGAAGTCTTTAGATATCCCTCAGTTAGCTCCCTAAATTTTAACCAAGAGGGAGTTATCACCTGGGCATGACTTCACACCTTTTGGGTCATTTTCGCTGGTTATGTGATAGCATGTGTGTTTGGCAACTTAGAATACACAATCTAAAGAAAGTTAATTGAATCAAAGGTGTTTTATGGGGGTGAAGTACTCAGGGAAAACTATTAACATCCAAAAATTGCAAGTGGAAAATAAAGCTTTTTGAGGAGAGTGGCAGGACAAGCATAAAGCTTTGAGCCTGAATTAGATGTGCCCTTCAGAGCCAAAGCTGATGAATATTGCTTATTTCTTTCTGTTTGGAGTAAACTGTGCTCTTTTTCTGGTGCTGATGTCCTCTCTGTACTTCTCAAAATGCAGTCCAGTGAACCCTCTCTTTGCCAGGATCCAGCCACAAAGAAGTTGTGGAATCTAGTTTAGATGTTGTTTGATATTTGTTTAGTTGTTGGTTGGTTTTTGGTGGTTTTTTTTAATACTATGCACAAAAATTAGAACTGAAAGCAACCTCGTGGTGGGGGGACATGTTTTGAGCCCCTCTCTGGGATTGTTTAAACATACAAGGGTGTTTCTCTGTTCTGCTGTGGTTCTCAGTGGAGGCAGTAAGGTCTCTCTTCTATTGCTCCTGCATTTTTCCTTGTTCCTGCCTTTAGGCTCTGGACAATTACATGTGGTTTCTGAGGCATTCAGGGTAGTAAGAATAAAGTTCCCTGGGGGAGGGGAAAGAAATGGTGTACGAAAGTAAGAATATTGAAATAACCAATTAAAAACTGCAGTGGACATTGGTCAATGCTGGTAGTGCTTCCATCTGTTGCAGTTCTTTAATTTTAGGACATTCTAGGTGGTAGCTTGATATTTAACATGGAATAATAAAGAGTGGATGTTCTCATGGGTTTCATGAAAACTAGCCTTGATAATTTAGTAAGAAAAGATGACTACAGGAGAAATCATCCATGGATTATTTCCTTACTGGTTAAGAGCCGTTGACTGTGCACCTGTTTGAGTTAAAAAAAAACAACTCAACACCCAGACTTGCAGAACACAGCTGCACAAGCTGAATGAGAGCCAAGAGCCATTCATTCATACCAGCATTAAGAAGCTTAGCAAGCAATATGGATTTTAAAGTCCACATGACAGATCATGGACTGTTCTGAAAAGCCTTAAGTCCAGTGATTTCAGTGATGCTTTGGGAAGTGAAGCCTGCTTGAGTATCTACCCTAATGAACAAATCAAGCCTGGAGCAAAGTAAAATGTGTAATTCATTCAATTAAGGAGCACTATATTACTGTGAGGCTGAAGAAAAGAATACAAAATGCAAGTGGGTTTCACAAGATCCAATACAGTAGACATAGAGGGAAAGGAAAGAAAATTAATAAAAATACCTCCAGACTTCTGAGACTGCCAGAGACCCAATAGAGATAAAAGAAGTACTCAAATTGACTCCCAATAGGCAACATCTTAGTGTGGGCTGGATTGTGGCAACAGATATATTTGCAACAAGAAGAAGATAAAAACTGGAAGGAAGAAGAGGTTAGCTGTGTAAAGTAAGGAAGAGAAAAATCAGCTGTGATGACTGATGGAACATTTTGGTGGCTGCTTTAACAAGAAGATGAAATGAGCATGGGAAAGAGGAAAATGAGGAATTTTAAAATAGGTACTGAGTAAAAGGAGAAAAAGCAGTATGATTAGGACATATAAATAAATAAGCATTGATTGTAACAAGCTGTAGTATACGAAAAGAATTAACTAAACCAGAATGCATTGGAGTACTAGCAGTTGTAGCAAGTGAGAAGGAAGCAGGATAGCATGATAGGATTGTGACAGTGTGAATGCATTACTTCAATCAGAAAGAGCAGCAAGTCTGGGGATTAACTCCAAAAGGGAGGCAAAACCCCCACAATTCAAATGGTTTTGAACAGGTATTGTGTAATAGGAATTGGAATTGCTGGAGGCATTATGAATGAAAAATCATGATGGATGGCAATGTATCAAGTTGGGCAGAAAAGTACAGGGTGACTCAGGGTGCTCTGCTAAATGCAGTTTAATTTAACATCTTTATTAATGATTTTTGAAGAGTACACAAACAGCTCATTAATTACATTTACAAATGATGCTACATTAAGCAATGTTGCAAACACTAGAAAAGGACAGAGATATATGAAGATAGTTGAGTACAGAGACTGCAAGTATAACCTCATCCGGCATCCGCTACAGCACCAGAAGGGAGTTTTTGCCTCCACTTGAGTGGAAGATAGGTCAGAACCAGAGCTGACAGCTACAGTGTAACTCGGCATGGGAAAAGATGAAGTAGCATATGGTGGGGAAAAAAAACCCAGTTCACAAATAGTCAAAGGGAAAAGTGTGCTGGAAAACCAGCATAATGAGGAAATAGTCTTGAATAATAAATCTCAAATTAGATATACTTGGAGCAGTCATTGTTTTGTTTCAGTATTACATATTGTTGAGCTGCCTATAGAGAAATGATGGTGTAGAAGTTGTCGTTTCTGTTCAAATCAGACTGGGACAACAGGAATAAGGTTCAGAATAGATCAAAACTCACTTATGTGTATGTGTATCAAGATGTTTGACATACTGAGGGAGGGAAGCAATGTTCATGAAGTACTGTGTGAATTGTGAGATGCTTCTTTAGGGTGGAGAGGGAAAGAAGAACATAATTGTGTGTGTGACAAAACAGCAGTGAAATGATGTAGCTGATAATAATTTGGGTTGTTTTCATGTCCAGGGTGTCCAAGCATGCATGAGAGCAATCTGTGCTAATTCTTGGGGGAGCACTGAAATCTCATCTGAAAATGTCATAATCTCAATGTATAAAAAGGTAGAAGATGCAAAGGGTAAAACCAGAAATGAGATGAAGGAATATAATTAACTGCCAGTCAGCCTGATTGCCAGGGTTCATAACTTATGGGCAGCCCAGCCATGAGTGGGGATTTGCATAGCCATTAAGGCAGGGAGAAGAGCCTCAGGAGCAAGTCTGAACGTCTGCAGGATTGTTCAGAGAAATCAAACAGCTCCTGACATTTGTCTCTGACACCCTTTTTTTCAGACCTTTTCTTTTCAATCTGAGGTTTTGAATGCTGTATCAACCATTTCATACAGGAGTTTCTCTCAGGTCACCTATTCCATCCACTTTTCAGGTTACCGAAGTAAAGTTTGTGTTTGTGTGCCTGACATTCCAGAAAATATGCATCGCTTTTTCCTTCTCACTTGTTCATGTAGCTGTGCCCACTGTAGGGCACTTGAGCTCCTCCCTGACTGTTTGTGTGGTCACTGGCACTGGGACACTGGCACCTTTGCATTGGATGAGTCTGTTATTTATACAATCTTCTGTCTAGTTGAGAGGACACTTGAGACTTTGTTTCTGTTTATCTTCACTTAAGTTTATACAGACCAGTGAGAGAAAAAAGTCTTTAAGGTTATACAAGTAGTTTCTTTTTTTAAGTAAATGGCTGGCATTTAACCAAGTGAAGTTTCCTAAATGTTCAGAATGTTTTCCTAGTAATATAAAAAAATTGAATTTTGATGTTGGTCTCTTACGCACAGTAATTATTGCTATCCTATATCTATTAAATCTCTGCTGCTTGAAACACTGGGAATAGTTTACAGGCACCAAGTAAAAGAAAAAATGGTAAAAATATTCCAGTTGATACTTTTGCTATTTTCCTGTATTGGTTTGTTAAATAAGAGTCTTACAAGCCAATTAATTGTTGGGTTATCAGGTAGACTAGGGAAGTTGTAATCACTTTTTTCAGTCCCCTATTGACACATTAGTGTGAAGTTACTCTGTGTGCTCTGACTTTTTTGAAGGACCTCCTGCCTGATTTACTTTGCATACATTGCTTTGAAGCTTTCAGATACCCCGGAACTTTTTTGAACATCAAGCACTTCCTAGCCACATACTTTATTCAGTCTTTGCTTGTAGTTGAAAATATGTCAATTAATTTATGCCAGTCAAAGCAGGGATTTCAGCTAAACAGACACTTTCTGAACTGCACAGAAATAATAATAAAAAAGATGCCGTGCATTATTGTGGCTGGGAGCTGCATCAAAAGGGCAGTAGAGTGTTTGCAGAGGGGGGAGGAGGTGCTGCTGATCCTCGCCCAGAAGGCAGGGCCAGGCGTCCTCTGCAATGGTGACAGAAATGGTGAAGTTTTATTTGGTTCTTCGAGCTCTTCTGTTGTTCAGGACCTCCTTCAGCACTGCAGTCTTCAGAATCACTTCATGTTGGCAGGGGGTGAATTGTAAAGTTTTAACAAGAAGCATTTCTTTAGACTGTGCTCTCTGACCTTTACCTCTAGGGAGAATTATGACATGGGGTTGGGGGAGCTGGAGGAAATCCTCAAAGAATGTGGCTTTGTGAGTTGCAGAAGTAGGCCTGTTTGCCACCAACAAATATATTAACAGGG